CTCTCAGATAATAATCTGAACCATACATTTGGCTCAGAAAAACATGGTTTTAGGCCTGGCTTCTCCACTGAATTGGCCCTACACTAAATGGTGTGAAGAATAGAAAAAAATTATAGATGGACACTTTGCCATTGGGATTCTACTGGATATTGTAGGAGCCTTTGATAACTTTGGTTTCGATAAAATACATAAAGCCCTTATTGGAAGTCATATTCACCCTAAGATAACTAGATGGGTCATCTTTATGATTAAAAACAGGAGTATCTGCGTTAGTCTTATTGACTGTGAAGTAAAGAGAGATATTACTAAAGGGTGTCCGCAGGGTGGTATTCCTTTCTCCGTTCCTGTGGAACCTGGTATTTCGACTCACTCTTAGTACTTCTACGGGAGGAACCTGGCATGTCACAGGCTTATGCAGATGACCTTATTGTGTTATTACAGGGTTTCGATATCGGAACCCTACACAATCAAGCTCAGCAGATCTTGAATAAAGTTCACACTGGGGTGAAACAAATAACCTATCTTTCTCTGCTGAAAAATCTGAGGTCATAGTTTTCACGTGGAGAAGGAAATGGAAACTGGCAGATTTGTATCTGGGTAACCAGATTATCAGACGTAAGGAATGCATTAAATACCTAGGATGTTACCTGGACAGTAAACTCACATGGATCACTCATATAAGAGAAAAGGCACAAACAGCCACAAATGTACTAGCACTTTGCAGGCGAATCGTTGGTAAATAATGGGCCCTTAACCCAAAATCTACTCTATGGATTTATACTGCCATAGTCCGGCCAATACTTTCTTAAGGATGCGTGGTCTGCATCAATACTATTAACAAAACCACATATTAAACATTTTACAAAAGGTAGACTTGCTTGCCTATGCATTAGTGGGGCTTTAAACAATACCCCTACTGCTGCATTAGAATTTTTATTGCAAATTCCACCCTTGAAATTATTCTTGAGCGGAGAAGCAATTAAAGCAATGTATAGGTTGAATAAAAATGGCACATGTTGCCAAAGGACAGTTTTCGGTCATAAAAGCCACATTGACATATGCCTGGACTTGGGCAATGAGATCTCTATAATCTATATGCCCAAAGATGCCATTACTAAAACAATAGTTTCAGATAAACTATTCTCAACTTATATACCAAAAAGCAATGAGATAGAATCTCTAATTGACCTAATTCCAACAGGATCAATTGAATGCATACTTGACAACCTATGACACTCAAAAATCAGGAGATGTTAAAAAGACTTTTTAAATGATAAAAATATAGTTTTTAATAATGAATTAACTTTAAATAGTTACTAATTCTTAAATGCAAGCAACACAAAAATACCTTACACATAAAAAACATTTTTATTACTTGCATCGTTTAAACACACACAACAACAACAAAACAAAAAAAAAAAAAAAAAAAAAAAAAAAAAGAGAGAGAGACTTTAATCAGTTTTCGTACAAATGTTACAAGTAGTGCAAGATTTTGCTTTCGTTAAAAAAGAAACTTCATAATTTTGTTCATAGCAATTGCCACGTAGGCCTGCTTTCACTAATAAAAGTTTTTCTAATGTGTCATCACTAACATTAGATCTACATTTAGTCCTTGTTTTCGCAACAACACTGAAAATCCCCTCACACTCTGCATTACCATGGGGAACTGTCAAGATGGCCAACATATTTCTAGACAGTTCAATATATTTCAAAATTCTATCAGCACCTTTCAGTTTTCCAATTAAACTCCACTGGGTGTCAATCCTAGCTGATTTTATAACTTCATCCAGTTTTCTAATTGTAAACTGCAAAATTTCGACTGAGATATCATCAGTGGCAACATCAATATCATCATCTTTCATGACTAAATGAAGTAACACAGGAAATCTGTTCAAAAAGTATATCAGAAAAAGATGCATTTGCTAGAACAGAAACATCAGTAACTTTAGCATGCAAAATAACTTCATTGTTGACTGGAAATTTATGTAATCACATACTTGACAGAAATAACCTCTAACATGAAAATAAAACTTATTTTTGTCTTCTTCTGAAAAGTTCTTCCACTACTTTTGTAGTTGCAGCTCCTATTACCAAATCTTCATATTTCTTCCGATTTTCCATTTCACCATAAATCACATTATATATATAGAATTACAAGACAAAACACAGACTTGTTTTAAAAACTTTGATAAAATGTCTTTAAACAGATCATAAATCACTAATTGCAAAACATGAATTAATGGAATTCTGCTTTGTAGAACTGTGTTAAAAACATCAAATGAATTGTAAAATGAATGAATTGTAAAAAAAAAAAAAAAAAAAAAAAAAAAGCAAAAAGCTTTTTTTAAGATCCGAAGAAACAAATACATATATTCATACTTCACAAGATAAACATACAGTAATCGGAAACTGTTTCGTGTGTTGAGCCTTTTTTCTATTTTGAGAGAAATTTGTATCAGCTTTATGCTTATATTTTGCAGTATTATTTTGTGAACTGCTGAATGGTGCAGAAATTACTTTATTTTTCTCAATCCTATTTTTAACAATGGAAGTAGTGACTACATCTCCATTCACTTTAGGTATTTTGTAACTTTCAACAGAGCCTTTTATCTTAACTCTCAAAGCACTTATTTCTTCTTTAAAATATGCACGTGGGTTAAATTGATCGAGAATTCAAGATAAGCATTTCTTTAAAGACAGCCAGCATGTACACCTGTTTCAAAAATTTTCTCATTTCAGTATTATGCAGCTGTTGGAACTGTTTCAATTTTCCCTTCCTTTCAGAACTCCTTTCAAGATCATAATAAATATCAACAATGTGTTCATCCACATTTATTGGTAAAGAAGCTGCCCCTTTCCAAATTTAAGAGGTGATAGGTGCACCTTATAATCTGCAAATCCGAATTTTCCTTTCTTAAGATGCCTGCAACACCAGTCTTCAAGCCTACCATTACTGGTACATTATCGGCACCCAGTGCTAATCAATTATCCAGAGGGACTGCATTTTCTTTTAAAGTTTTAATAATTAGCTGTGCTATATTAAAGCCTGTCGAATGTCCTTCTAAAGTGGGGACAGAAAGTAAAATGCACTCAATTTTTGAAGACTCTGGATTAAAAAAAGAAACAATAATTGGATACAGTTTTAAATTGGTATCAATGCTTCCATCCTTAGAGAGGCAGAACGAAGCCATTTCAATGCAATCAATAACTGAAGATTTATTTTTCAAACTCATTTTTTTTTAATAACTGCACCTGTTTTGGTCCTTGCACTTGAGTATTTCTTAGCGATTTCACTATTGGGAAACATTTTTCTAAATAAAGCTGCAGCGTGATCCGATGCATTCAGTGGCAGGTTGTGCTCCAGTAAAAAAGCAGAGAATAGACATTCTGCATTAATAACTTTTTGGTCCCTTGTTTCCGATGAAAAATTTAATTTTTCGTTTTTTCAAAACAACTCTTGTTGCCCTTGTGTTTTTGTGGACGCGCATGTTTGAAGACATCCGCCCTTCCACCATGCGAAATCGAAACATCGCAAAGACAGATGGTACACATTGCAAATTTATTATATTTCTTTGAGGAAATAATGGAAGGAAAGTCAACTGTGTACGATTTTTGAAACGTACACGAGTATTTCACCTTTCTCGCAAACATAACAAAAGATGATAATTTCTAAAACTAATTCCCGAAGGCACATGTACTCACACAACTCAGGACAAGATGAACGAAATAACTAAAGAACATACAAATAATAGCCTTGATCTTGCTTTGTGCTCATTGGCTAATATATGCCAGATGACATGCAGTGGAGTTCGATGCCCATTGGAGAACTGGAGAACAACGTTTCTGGATACGTATATTCTCTCACTCACAAAGCAGAAGTTCTCATTTGATTCACAAGGTTTTGTTTTAGATATAATCTAGAGAAAATTCAATGGCTTTCAGACGTCCAAAATCACTTTTTTTTTTCCCTCTCTCTGGCATAATAGGGTTTGTGAGATGTATACTAAACACCTACCTACAGGTAAGGTGAATTTGAAACCACAAGAAACAAGCTTTGAGATGCCCTGTGAGGGTTTTTTTTTTTTTTTTTTTTTTTTTTTTTTTTTTTTTTTTTGTAAAAGAAACTATGCAGGGATTTCCCTTTCATAGCTGTGTTTTGGAATATAATTTGGAAATAGATATCAAATCTTTATACACCTTCTGGCCATTTGGCTTAAGAAAGTACCTCTGCCCTCCTTATTTAATTAATTATTTATTCTTATTTATTTTTTTAATTTTAGACTCACCATCGCACCCTTCCTGGTCAGGAGTTTAGGTTTGGTGATTTAGGAGGGACTGAATCGGCTCTTCATCAAATTGGGAAGTTTTAACGATTTAACCGACACCCTGAATTTAGAGATGGGATCTTTTGCTGATACTATATATTTGGTGTCAGTTTGAGATCTTATCCATTTATTTATTATTTACCTTTCACAGGAGTTACCATTTAAAACCTTTGACTTAAATGATCAAATGGCGGAAGAGCAATGGGCAACATTGCCTAAGCTCTTTTCCTTCTTTTCACAAGAAGGAAGAGCCACTATTGTTATGTTATATTAAGGAGAGACCCTGAAATATATTTTTCCTGAGTATTTTTGTGGAAATTTCCAGAACTTTAAAGTGTTTCTTTTGGTAAAATAAATTTTATCAAGCTATCATCAGTTGAGTGTGCATTTGATTCATTATGAACCCGAACACATGCAACAATATACATTGTTTTACCATCAATAATTTATAACTAGAAACTAAAATCAATGCTTTTTTTAATATTCATCATTAATGTTCTTTACTGAATAATTCTGACAGAACAGGGAATGATGGAAATTAGTAGGAAAATGTTTAATGCATATACATAATTTAAGGAACACTGTACTCATTAATATATTTAAGTATACCTGATAACATATTTTCATCAAGTAGTTTTATAAAATATCAATTTATTTTCAATAAAGAACACTTACCTAAAACTTTCACACCATTGTTATGAGCTGCAGAAATCCATCCACATGGTGGAATAGTTACTAAATGATGACTAAAGTATACAAAAATATCTACAAGAGACCAGTGTGTGAAATAATAACAATCTTCAGCTTTACAGCCATGCACAAACCTATTCAAAATTCAATCATATTAGTTTCTGTATTTTTATATACACTATATTAGTCCTGCTGCAAAGAAGTCAAAATGAGAATATGGTACTTCCGGCTAAATCGCAGAATAGGCTGCATCGGTCAATGCTGTGTTTACTTCTCTTATGCTTGGACACGCCTTTTTCTAATGTAATATTGGTTATGCCCAGGGATAAATAGAACGGCTAGGTCATTCCTTTGTTCGACTCCTCGCCGACGCAAGCCACATAGAGCGGGTGAACTGGAAGTAATCTGACGTGTCTGTATTGCACCTGCTCTGATTTCGCGCGTTTAAAACTGTAGTTTCATTCATTTGCGAGACGATTTTCTGGAGGTCGCATATCCCAAATTAATTTTAATCGTACATAGTTGTTTTCTAATAATGCAAAATATTTAATAATTTGTGGTATATATATATAGTTTTAATCAGTTTTCCTTTTAAATTCTATATTTAAAGTATCCTTTATGTAATATGGCTTCTTGTGCTGTAGCAACGTGCCGTAACGCTTATAGAAATACGAAAGGAAGAGATATTGTATTTCATGTTTTTCCAAAGGACAATTTGCTTTTAACGAAAGAATGGATACATAAATGTCGAAGACAGGATTCTATTAATGTGAAAAACGTAAGAATTTGCGGCGAACATTTTCTGTGCAGTGATTATGAAGATGACATAAGAAATCGCTTGCTTGGTTTGCCCCAAAAGAAATTGTTGAAATGCAATACTGTGCCGAAAGTAAATTTATCATGTGCAGTAAATGAAATAACACTAAGGAATCGGAGACATCTGAAAAGAAAACTAATGCAGAGTGCTTTTGAAAGATGAATTAAGCCCAAAGAAAATTTATTTTGAGGCTGAGAACAAAATTGAAGCTGATAATAATAAATCAAATGTGAATGATTTTGAAATAAAATTCACAAGTGACAATGTCCTAAGCGATAATATCTCTGAATGCCCTAAGTGTAAAGATAAACAAGAATGTATTGATAATTTGAAGAACAAAATAATATCCTTAGAAAATTGTAATAAAATATTGAAAAATAAAGACAGAAAAATTTTAGAATGTTTGCTCAGCGACAAAGAAGGTGGACGACATCTAGAAAGAAATTTCTATCGGAAATTCAGGAATTAAAATCCCAAACAGCGAAATTTAGGAAAAAACAGCACGAATCGGAGTATTTGGAAAAAGCATATTTTTACAAAGACGCAGATTAACACATTGCTAGAAAAGAAGGAAAAAATAAGGTGGACTAGTGAAGATATTTCATGTTGCATTGTCATAAAAGCTCTATTATCTAAAGGCTACAATTTTTGGAAAGAAAAAATGGGAATTCCTTTACCTAGCACTAACACATTAAGGAGATGTAAGGAGATGGTGCGCTAAAATTTTCATGTAGTCCAGGAATTCAGAGTGATGTTCTTGCTGTAATGAAGGAACAATGCGAATATTTGAATTCTGTAGAAAAAATAGGCATTCTCGGTTTCGACGAAATGCATATAAATTCTAAACTCTGACTCTAAACTGGACCAAATTCTCGGTACTTTTCAAAAAATGCAGTTTGTTTTAATCAGAGGTCTCATTTTGCAGTGGAAACAACTAATATATTTTTTTTTTTTTTTTTTTTTTTTTTTATTTTAACACTCCAATGAAGAAAGAACTTCTTTTTTCATTCATAAGACATATTCAATCATCTGGAGTAGAAGTGAAAGCAATAGTGTCTGATTTAGGACGACCTAATACTTTGTGGAAAGAGTTACAGATTTAGATTAATAGTTCTCAGTTTCCAAATCCAGTATTGCAAACGAAAAAATATGGGATTTTGCAGATTTAGCGCACTGCTTCAAATTACTGTTTTAGAAGATGGAACTGTTTTAAATGTTGATATTATTAAGGAGGTTTTTAAATTGAGATTCGGGAGAAATAAAATTGTGTCACAAACTAAAACCAAATTATTTAATGGTCAAGGGAGAGACAAAAAGTCGTCCCAGCGAAAACATTATTTTCAAGAACTACCGCAAAAGGTATACTCCACCTCACAGGAAATCAAAAAGCATCTTACTTCTTTGAGTTAATCGACAATTTTTTGATGTTAGGAATAGTACCAAGCCATACCCTTCTTCAGATAAAATACTTAAAGCAGCATTTGGATTAAATTAACATCATGAAAAATAAATTCAAGTTTTGTAATTAATGAAGAAAGTCATTAGTGGATTACGAGTTCAGGGAAAATCCAGCATACTGCCTTTCCAAGAAAAGAATAATAATTTCAATAAATTCTCTTTTTGGCCTACACCAGGATTTGAAATCATTGTATGATGCTAAATATATTTTAACCTCTAGATTAACTCCGATTGCACTTGAAAGTCTCTTTAGTCAGATTCGATAGCTTGGTAGGTTTAATGACCATCCATCACCTAGTGAAGTTATACGCCGTTTGAAGCAATTAATACTCGTTAATAAGCTGTCAAATTTATCTTCCTAAATGTGCATGACTACAGAAAGCAGAAATATTGATTCATATTTAACATCAGAAATACTTGAAAGGGCTTTGAAAACTGAGGTGGAAGGTGCTTTTCCATTAAATACTATTGATGATTTGGATATCATAGAGGAACCTTCTGCTATGGCTTAGCGATTAGAATTGAATTCCGCCAGACAAATTTCGACCGCCAAAAAGAAGCATTAACTTATGTTGCAGGTTATATTGCCTACCGTGTGCGAGACAAAGACCCATCATTGGGAACAATATCTAAAAATAGCGCTGATGAGCCAATATATTATTCAGAATGGATTAAATTATTGTCCTTAGGAAGTTTAACTACACCTTCCCATTCATGGATGAATACAGTTTACGAGTTCGAAAACATATTTTGTGCAGTTCAGGTACAACTTACTATAAAGGGAAGCATGTAATTGGCTCTTTAATAAACTGGAGAAACATTATCCTGAAGTTAATAGAGAAGCAAATTCGTTTATTTTGCAGAGGGCGAACTTTTATTAGAATACGTTTCTTAAATAGAAATGCATATGTTTTTTTTCCCAAAGAAAAGCAACCCAAAAGGCAAAAAGTGGATTGCTTCGAATGTGGCAGCCAATAAATAATATTTCAACAACTTGAAATTGCATTATGACTGTACAAGTAAGCATATATAATATGTTTTGATTTGAAATATTTCTAGATGACATTTTAGAAGTAAATAGCGTAACACATATTTCAAATGAGAACTAATTTTGTTAAGTTATTGTTAAAGTTATTTTTATAGTATCCTGTGTTGTTATTGATTCGATTTTGTGCTAGCTTAGCATTCTACATAAAATATAATAACATAACATTAAAGTAATTAACATAAGACCTGCCTCCTTAACCTCCACTTTTGAAAAATTAAATAATTTTTTTAGGTAATGTGAGTAAAGTTGTTTTGTCTAAATTAAGATAACACTGTTACATATATTTATTTAAATGTAATACTGATGTAAGCAGAGTTATAAAATTATTTTAAAAAATATATGCTATTATATTGAATCGGGAGAAAAATATACCAATGTAAAATTTACAATTAGACTCAAACTTAGATTAGCAAAAATTCTGAAAACTATGCTAATTTAAGGTTGTTTTTTTGATTAATTTTAAATAGCTGTTATTATAGTTATCTTAGAAGCAGTAGCAGAGTTCTCTTAGTTAGCACGCAGATAAAGAAATGATTAGAAATAAACAGGCATTTAAAGAAAAAACTCCCTGCAAATTAAAAAAAAAAAAGGAACTTGCTAAGAGTAGCGTATTTTATCTGTTATTTTAAAATTGAGTAAGTACTATTAAATTTTTTAATGTTCGGTGTAAAACGCATACTGCAGTAACATTGTCTCTTCTAAATTATAACTATCTTTCACACACAGCTCATTTTAAACGCTGGTTCTTAGAATTTAAAACGCTAATTTCTATGTTGTCAATTGCATCTCCGCACTCAGTGTCATCATGGCTACATCATCACTCCCCACTGCCTGTTTCAGGGGGAAAAGCTCTATGAGCTAGCCCGTCCTGGGTTATGCCTCTTCTCAAAAACAGGTTGTAAGTATGCTATAGCTTTGTATTTAAAGAAGACTTAAATTATATTTTAACTGAGTTGAAATGTTAGGCTTATAATGTTCTGAGCGAGATTTTTTTAATTATAAATCACTCACAAATGTTCTCACAAATATCTCTCACAAATGTATTATTAAGATACCAAATGATTGAAAATATCGAATGCATAATTTAAAAATTATAACCGTCACTTCTGAAAATACAGAAAAGAATTCTTTTACTTAAAGAACGATTTGATTATTGATGAGTGTGTCTAATTCGGTGTTTACTGCAGAATGGATGAGTATCTGAATTTGGATTTTTTTTATCAGTTGGAGCAAAGAGGTAAAGAAGCGTTATTGAGTAGTGTATGGAGAAAAGTTTGATTGCAATATTGTATAAGTGCCCAATTTGTGAAATTTATATGAAACTAGTAGAACAAAAGAACTATATAGATGGATTTGAGTGGATGTGTAGAGTTACTGGAGGCGAATGTAAGCACAGAATTTCAAGGTCTGTTCGAAAGAACTTGTGGTTTGCGAAGAGTAAACTGAGCATGTGTGATGTTTTGCGGGTTACCTATATGTGGTTGGGTAAGTGCAGGAATGATTTTACACAAACGGAATTACGTATTGCTAAAAATACGGTGACAGATTGGAAAAATTTTTGTAGGGAAGTATGCATGGAGTTATTCCTGAAGGAGAAGGTGATGTTGGGTGGGGAAGGCGTGATTGTGAAAACTGACGAAAGTAAGTTTGGCAAGCAAAAGTATCATAGAGGAAAAAGAGTCGAAGGAAGATGGGTTTTTCATTTGGTTGAAAGAAAAAAAGATAAATGCATGTTTAGAGTGGTTGAAAACAGAGGTGCCGAAATATTGTTGGAAATCATTAAAGAGAATGTTCTACCAGGATCGACTGTTATATCGGATTGCTGGAAAGCATACGACTGTCTCGAGTTCGAAGGATATGCGCACCTGAAAGTCAATCATAGCTTGCATTTTAAAGATCCAGAGACAGGTGCGCATATTAATAGTACTGAGGAAACTTGGGCAGCAATCAAAAGAAGTTTCCGTGCTTCTCGTAACGCAAAAGGACAGTTTGATTCCTATCTTGCAGAATACATTTGGAGAAGGAAACACAAGAAATCCGATGCCAGCCAATTGATGCATATATTTCTCAGTGAGATCACAGACATATATTCTGCCAAAAGGAGAGGACTGAAAGTAAGTTTCATTTATTATTATTGACTTAAGTAAAATATTGGGTGCTTGTCAAATACTGCAGTTTGGATGTTCGGTAGTTGCTTTATTCTGGTAGCTTTATTTTTGTTTTGTATCATTTTATTGGGACACATTTTTTTACAACTCGAATCAATGGAGTTGACTGCGTGCGAGTTCTCGTAATTCTCTGATTTTTTAAGTGAAAGCAGATTTCTGAGTATATGAGCAATGCAGAGTTTATTTAATGTCTGATTTTTTTTTAAGTGAAAATAAATTGACGTGTACATGGCCAAAGCCAATGTAGTGTGCAATGCCGAGTTTGTGCAATTCTCTGATGTTTTCTAATGTGAAAATAGATCGATGTGTACATGGGAAAAGCCAATGTGGTGCGCAATGCCGAGGTTGTGCGTGATGCTGAGTTTACACAATTGTCTGATGTTTTTTTAAGTGAAAATAGATCTATGTGTACATGGGCAAAGCCAATGTGGTACACAATGCCGAGTTTGTGTAATTCTCTGATGTTTTTTAAGTGAAAATAGATCGATGTGTATATGGGCAAAGCCAATGTGGGGCGCAATGCCGAGGTTGTGTGCGATGCCGAGTTTGTGCAATTCTATGATGCTTAAGCGAAAATAGATCGATGTATACATGGGCAAAGTCAACGTGGTGCGCAATGCCGAGTTTGAGCAATTCTCTAATTTTTTTTAAGTGAAAATAGATGGATGTGCACATGGACACCGAGTTTGTGGAGTTCTTTGATGTTTTTTGTGCGAATACTGATCTCTGTTTACAAGGGCAAACGAGGTTGTGTGCGATGCGGAGCAGTAATGTAACTTTATTTATGTGCAATGTTTAACAAATCGTTTGTGTGTTTTAAATTTGTATTATTGTGTTCATTGTAAATCATATAATCATATTTAAGACATCTTTTTTGTTATTTACATTGTATTTTTAATTGTTTGGTTTTGATATGTTGATAATGCTTTCCGACTTACGATAAATATCAATAGTCGAACGATCTACTCAACAGTAGCAAAACTGTAAATTTTGACTCTTTAAGTAATGTTTACCTCATTATTTTAATATGTAGTGTTTGGTATCATAATTGCACTTGATAATATGTGTGTGTATGCATATGTGAAGCATTGTTTATTGTTCCAAATTTGTAGCATTTATTTTCTTATATTATTTTCTTTCATTGCAAGAAATTAGATTTTTTTTAAATGCATAGAATTCTAGTATGCCTACTATGGCGTGATTTAGGAATTTTAAAAACTGATATGAAAGCTGTAATGATGTTCATATGCAATAAAAAATATTCTTCTTTTTTATTAATGTAAAGTTTAAAATTTTTAGAAAATAATGAAAATTGTCTAATTATTGGTATGTAAGGAATTATGTCATTACGTAGCAATAAGGTAATTTGTAAAAATGATAAAATTGAAATGTTCCACAATAGGAATTTAAATTTAAAAAAAAAAAATTATTTGCGTATAAATGCTTTAATAAAAATCTTTGAAAATATTGAAGCTGTACAAGTATTAGAGACTACGACGTTGTTTATCATTTTAATAATTGGTAGAATTTGCTCACTGTATCATAGTAATTTTAAATATAAACAATTTATTATACTTATTATCAGTAACGCCAAAGCTTAAATGTTATAAATGTAAACTTAAAGAATTTGACATTAATTTACAATAATAAACAATTTATTATTGTTATTTTTAAGAGAAAATTGAAAGTACGCGTAGTGTAAATGTGAGAATACATTGTGATGTCACAAGCTTAGTCCCACCCATTTATGGACGTCACATAGCTCCGCCTTCTCAACTTTGTTGATGCAGCCTATTCCGCGCTCTTACCGTACTTCCTTATTATATCAGGCCCCCAAATTAAATAGCTAAAAAACGAAGATATATCTCCAAAATATTGCCACATGTTCTTTTACCTCGCTACATGTTACACCTCAGTTGACTGGTGATTAATTTTGGAGGGTTGCTATAATACGGAAGTATGGAGAATACTACTTAGCAGTTCAATTAAATTTCACCATGACCATGCATTATCGAGCATATCAGAAATTAAATGTTCAAGCCAAGACAACTTTACAATACTGTAATGATAAGATAATTTAAACACATTCAGTTAATAAAAAAGGTAGACTTTTTATTATGTTTTTTGCATTTAATTAAGTTTTAAATTTATTTTAGGTGACTTACTACAAATAAACCTTCACACAAATTTTAAGCTTGCTTAGTTTATCAAGGCTTCATTGTTATAAATATATATAAGTCACTTTCTCTAAGAAGCTTCAAATGAAGCTTTAATCAACTAAAACTGCACATAAAACAATTGTTACATTGTAAGAACAATATTTAAACTAATAATGACTGCTGCCATTACATATAATTTTAGTGCTGCCAACAATATTGTTACGAAATGTACAGGTACGGTGAGATAGCTCTTCCCCGCAAAGAAGGTTTAGGGTTGCTATAAAATGGCAAAGGAATGCAGAGCTGCCACATATGGCAAGAAATCACCCATTTGGCGACAAAATTGGCGATATGCCATGGACGGATGAAGAACATTCTGGAACGAATTTTTGCTGGTTTAGCCCAAAATGTTCTCGAACATAAGACATAAGCTATATAAACTCTGCTGGTCCACAGTCAGTGTGTGCCTGGTCTAGAGAGCGAGTCAATCAAGCTGACAGCCGGGCAGCGAGTGCCGAGTGGGTTGTCGAGTGAACCGAAGGAGTCTCATAGTGTATCACAGTTAGTGCATTGTCGAGAGAGCGTGTTAAGCTCCGGGAACAACTGAACCGAAGAGTCGGGAGCTATGCTCTGTGTGTCCTCGAGTGCATCACGAATTGTAACGTGGAGAGTCTCAAGAGTACGTGAAGTTCCAAGAACGACCGAGCACAGTCAGGAGCTGTACTCTGGTGCTTTGCAGTGAAGCTGTCTCCGTTATTGCCTGACAGTGTGAAGGTTATGTCGCTGATTGTTCCAGCATGTTTATTGTAGATCTTTGACGACTGTAAAAGTGACTTTGGAGCTGTCCTGATCAGTATTGGCTAAATAAGGTGTGTTTCGATATTTCATCATCAAGTGTCGCAATTATTCATTCCAAATCCTCACGAACACCATACGAACGTGAAGGAAGAATATAACGTAACGACTGGTGTCAGAAAATAACATAACAATATTAAATATACCACATTCATATACTCTTTGATAATTTAAAAATTGAAGATGTACATAACTGTGATTACCAGCAGTACTACAGCAGAAAAATTCAAATTTCTGTTAGTTGTAAGGATTACTTTCTGTAATCTAGTAATATGAATGTCAATTAAAGTATATTTATCAATACCACATCACTTTAAACAGAACTTCTCATTAAGATTTTTAAGATATAAAATTAAAGTGCAGCTTAAATTCAAAAGTATTTTTTATTTTCTCTATTTTTTTAATTTTAAAATCTTACCTGCAGCTTAATTTTGAAGTAATATAGTACTAAATTGCATATTATATTTCTTTTTTTCACTTTCTAAACTTTTTTATACTTCTTTTATATACTATTCTTGGGAAATTATAGTTTATGCAACTCTATTTTGCATGAAAAAGATTTTCAAAAACCTAAATTGAGATTTCACGAATCAATCACAGATACAGCGATGTTCTAATTTTGTTAGTTTAAGTAGCAGGTTTTAAAAATACATACCTATCCTCTAAATATCCTCCTTTCATATCATGGCAGATTAAGGTTTTTGGACAATCACGTTCAATTCTATTTCTCAGGGGGGCGGCTGTTACATATTTTGCAATCGCATCTTCCCATTCCTTTAGTTCTTCTATTTGTGTAATAGGGGAGCATTCAGCCTATAAAAACAATAGATTGTTAATGTTAATAAAGTATAACTTAAATAACTCATGAAATTACTTACATTCATTATCTACGTATTCAAAATAGTTACTGCACATTTCATAATTCATAAGCTAAACTTTAAACTTCAATTTGCAGCATAAAGATGAATTGAAGGGTTGTCAAAATAGATATCTCAGTGTTTAAAAGAAAATAAATAGAAGCACCAACCAGAACTACCACTAATAACAAATACGTTTACAATCTGCAACCTATGCGCTAAAATGAATTAAAAAAAAGAAAAAGAAAGGAAAGAAAGGAAAAGGGAGAAAGAAGATTAACAAGAAACTTTCCGAATTTTTCAGCTGATTATAACATTGCATTATTCTTTATCTTATAAACTAATCGGCATCTAACTTAAATAGTTAATGAAGTTATCTTAGCTATTCTCAAATATAGATTCTCTCTATTCTCAAATATAGCTATTCTCTATCTTAGCTATTCTCAAATATATTTCAAATATAGAGGGTGTACTGTAAATGTTGTGGCAATAAGGATATCATAAGGATTAAGAATTGCATAGGAACCCATGCCCGGAAATGTCAGGGGTAAGTGGTAGCAGAGGTAGACAATGGGAAAAGAAACAAGAGTGATTAATTTGAAATATTTATTGAACGTGAATACAAATGGTGTATGACATCTTGAATGTTACAACAGATGCTAAGTTTGCACCATCAGACGCCAAACATGCCTGACATACATGGACCATTTATTGCCGAACATGTTCAAACACATCAGGAGTTTCTTTGATTGTAGCAGCTGCGCAGGCGAGTCTTGCCAGATCGTGATACAAGACACTTTTGATGGCTTCTCACAAAAAGAAATCAAGGCTTGATGAATCCGGTAAGCATGGGGGCCAGGGAACTGGTCCACCAAGGCCAATCCATCGAAGTGGAAATGATCTGTTTAAATGGCTACAAACATCCAATCCAAAATGAGCAGGCACCTCTAATGTTGGAAACATTTGGTGTAACATCATCATGCAAATCGGGAAGAATCTACTCCAGAAAGATAAAATAATTTGTGACATTCAAATGGTGTGTCGGTGTCAGGCATGTTTAGCGTCTGATGGTGAAACTTAGAGCATCTGTTGCAACATTCCAGCTATTGTATACCATTTGTATTCATGTCCAATAAATGATTCAAATTAATCACTCTTGCTTCTTTTCCCATCTTCTACCTCTGCTACCATTTACTCTGGACATTTCCAGGTATAGGATTCTATGCAACTCTTAATCCTTATGATCTGCCCTAACTCCCCTAAAAGTTCGTCGAAACATTTACGGTACACCCTGTATATTTAGTTATGTTGCTCCTATAAAAGGATGATTCATTTTTAAGCCTATGACATTCTTTTCCAAAACTTTTTTCCCACAAGTACGTGAAAAGGAGATAATCAGATAACCGGCACTTGGCGAAGTTCCGAAAATCGCATTCGCCAACTTGGGAGATAGGCACCAAACAGTTGGAAGAGTGTTTAGGTTGCTAGCCCAGATGTTAAGAAAGATAGGGAAAATGAAAGGGATATTTTCTTTCTATATGGTTGATACTTTGCACTGGGTGTGGTGACTTTGCAGATAAATCTTTGTGCTGATGATTAGATGACTTTGTCAGTAGACGTTTTGAATTCGCTGTTTAATTATTTTCTAAATAAATTAATTATACTTGTAATTAGAATAAGATAATTTTATTTTTATAAAAGAAAATTAGGTACTATTCGGTTTCGAGGGCCATAAAAAATCGCCAACTATTGTTGATGCCAATGCTGCCAAAAATAATTGTGGCAATCCTAATAATTGTGGCAAGAAAGGAAGTATAATACAGTCAAAAGTCGTTAATCCGGACTCGTCGGGACTTCGCCGATTCCGGATTATCGATTTTTCCGGATTATAGATCATCAGTTTAAATCGCATAAGATGGCATGCAGAAATTCTAAAATTAAAATATGAAAGTAAAAACCGTAATTTATGAAATAAAGAACAATTATGATCTAAAGGGTATCAAAATTTACAAAAAAAAGCTTAATATTTATTTGTTTACTTTATTAAACATTTCTTTCAATGTAAGTTGTTTCGTTTTATGTGATAATACTTTCTCTTTAATTCTATAAACAGACATAATTTTTTTGTTCACTTACAAAGTTCCGCTGTTCAAGTCCCGTTAATTGCTGTGCCGAGAATACCGACTAACTTGTCAATCGAAATTTTTTCGTTTTCACTAACCTCTCTGTCACATTCTTCATGTCTTTATCCATTTTTTGCAGCAATTCCACTTTTTGTTTGATGGACATCGAAATATACTTTCGTTTTGTACGATCCTTTGGGAGCTCCAGAATCAAAAATTCTATTTGACATAATCGAAAGTTAAAGTTTACTTTTTTAGTATTGCTCTTACAGTTTGCAAAAAATAATAAGCCGGATCCAATTCGAAAATTAAGGAACAACGCAATCATCAACATTAACTGAAATAGATAATTAGATAATTTTAGCTTACACCGTCCGTTATACATAAAATGCACACGCGAAAATGTATTCTGCGCTTGCGCACACGCAAATACGCAGTCGTAAGAGGTCTTACGCGCACGCGTAAACGCCTATGCGCATGTGTCAACGTGGAGCATGCGCAGAAAGTTTTTAGCTTTGAGGTCCGGATTATAGATCATTCCAAATTATGGGTGTCCGAATTAACGACTTTTGACTGTAGTAAATAACGAAGACTGATGTTTTAATTTAGATGAAAGGTTAATTTCATATAATACTTTTTTATTATTATAATCAGTTTTATTATTATAATCCTAGGATTTTTTTGGAAGAGTAAAAATACTCCATGACTTTATGGCAGGTTGCGTTCTGTATGGTCACAAATAAATTACTTATTAAATCAATGACATTTATTTACAATTTACATAGTGAAGAAAAAAGAACATTCTACAAAACATATCACGCCGCATTTATGCACGCTAGCTATAACAGCACACGCACGAGGAAGACTAACTACAACAAATCAGTTCACTTCACTTGAGAGAAAAGTACAGAGTTTAGTTGCAGCACTGCTATATATGAAAACACAAACAGTTAACATTTAATTTAAAAGTTCATTGCATGGTTGCCGCAACTTTTTTAGGAGGAGTGAAATACGGAAATAGCATAAACTACATAGACACAAATTTTCTATTAAAAAAAAAAAAAGCACTTTTTTAATGGACAAAATGAAATAGAAAAAAAGGAGGATGATATTTTGGTTTTTGACAATTACTGCATATGTTAAGTATTAGTAGAAAATATTAAACATTATAAATAAAAGAATTTGTTTTACATTAAACATTCTAAATGAAATATTTATTCAATATTACAAATTTAATATCCTTTTCCTCTGATTTTTCCACAATGTTACAGCTGATTTCCTTACAATATCAAAACTCTTTCAAAATTAAAGTTACAAAAAACATTTATTCTTGGTTACATTACAATTTTAATCTCTTTTCCCTGATTTCCTTACAGTATCACAGCTCTTTCAAAATTAAAGTCACAAAAAACATTTTTCCTTGGTTACGTTACAATTCTAATCTCCTTTTCCTCTGATTTTTTCACAAGGTTACTGCTCTTTCAAAATTAAAATCACCAAAACCATTTCCCCTTTGTTCTTTGAAATTTGTGCTTTTCTCAAATATTCTCCTTAGACTATCCAGTTGTTTTTCCTCCAATCTATTTCTCCTATTTGATTTGATCCTATTTTGAGTAGAAAACCCTCTTTCACAAACAGCCGTTGACAAAGGTATAGTCATGACTATTTGTGCCAGGGCTGTAAATCCAGGGTATGACAAAGGTATAGTCATGACTATTTGTGCCAGGGATATAAGAGTTCAACATCTAAACTCGATGAGAACAACAAATTGGCAAACTGTTTAAATTTGAATTCTCTGTAGCGTGAATAAAAACACTCTATTTCAAGGTGCTCTTGCTTTAACTCTTCTCCTGAAACACCCAAAACCGAAGCAGAATCTGGCCTATCATAATGTTTAATAACATTATCTCATGACTCCAATCTTGATGATCCTGTTTTTGTAACACAAGAGGGATTCAACAAAACATCAAAATCCTGCAAAAGATGCATCTGCTGCAAATTAAATCTTTCTTGCAGATTCTCTATCAGTGCACTCAAAAAAGCATTTTAGCACTCATGAAATCATTTAAAGATTTAGTAGAAATAGATAATTTAATATCTTGAACTCGATGATACCCATTATTAAGAGTTGACTCTAAATTTCCTTTAGATGAGTGCCACGACCTTCCTCCTTTTTCATTTCCTGCATGTGATTAACAGTTGATTCTAGACTGTTAACCAACACAGAGAAGTCCACATCATTGCTCTGAAAAATTCTACTGACTTTGTTCATAATCAGTAACACATCTCTCAAAAATGACAAGGTGGCTGCAAATGAAAATTGTAAGCATTGTTTAAGTAGTCCTGAGCCCTTTTCCATAGGATTTCTTGTTTTTCTGTTTGAAATTATGTCTGTCAGGACAAGGATCACAGCATCATAACTGATATGACATGCATCAATTGCATTCCCAAATGACAACCACCGAACAGCATTTATGTCTTTGAGAGTTATGCTTGGCTCATTTAACACATCTTGCATCAATTTCAACTTTTCAATTCTAATATTGGACGTGTGAAAATAAGCATAGAATGAACCTAAAATTCTCTGGCAGCTTTGAAATAGGGATATTCCATCCGCAACTTGGGAAACAGCTAAAGCTAAACGGTGAGCTATGCAGTGATAGTGCAATAAACCAGGTATCATATCCTGAAATTTTTTGCCAAGTCTGTTGTTTTTTTCCTAACAGCAGCACCATCTGTTGAAAGACCAACAACTTTTGATAACGGTACTTTTTTTTTGTTGAGAAATTTTATTATTATTTCTTTCAGTGCATCTGCATTGCATTCACCCAAT